TTGGGAAGGTTTTTACACGTTCCTATATGGCACTTACTGGGCTTTAGGGTCAGTCCGGACTCCCTAATCCGGTCTATTACGGCTCCTATGTGGGTCAGGTGTTCGGGTCAGGAGCAGCTAAAAATGTCTATACCATCCAAGTAGGTGTGTATCAGTGTGTATCAGGGATCCTTAGGACAGGTGTCAATCCATATCTGCTAAGTGACCCTATGTAGGAGGAACAGTCCCTATTCTGCTCTGTGTCAGTGTGTATCATGGTCTCTGAGGACAGGTGTCAATCCATATCTGCCAAGTGACCCGATGTAGGAGGAGCAGTCCCTATTCTGATCTGTGTCAGTGTATATCAGGGATCCCTAGGACAGGTGTCAATCCATATCTGCCAAGTGACCCTAGGTAAAAAAGGCCTGATGAGATGAGCTGCCTTGGGCTAAAAATGGTCCACACGCTGCTGTATTATAACTCTGAATGCCGCTTGACTTGCGTGACTTATCCGCCACCAACTAGGGTTCAAGCCGCCAGTGTGTACTTTATAAATGGCTTTATAAAGCAGTGCGTACTTTATAAATGGCTCCACCTGCCACCCGTACAGCAACACAGTCTCCAGTTAGGAGGACCAACCAAGCCTCTTCTTCCATCTCCCTGTTACAAAAATCAATGCCGTGTACACGTCCACTGATAGGAGACGCGAAGGTATTAAACTGATAAAAATAGTACTAAACACACCACTCCTATCTGGTGTCACATTAGCTTGACAGCGCAGTGCCCCAAATTTGCAGTAAGAGGACCGACCAAGCCTCTTCTTCCATCTCCCTGTTACAAAAATCAATGCCGTGTACACGCCCACTGATAGGAGACGCCGAAGGTATTAAACTGATAAAAATAGTACTAAACACACCACTCCTATCTGGTGTCACATTAGCTTGACCGCGCAGTGCCCCAAATTTGCAGTAAGAGGATCGACCAAGCCTCTTCTTCCATCTCCCTGTTACAAAAATCAATGCCGTGTACACGTCCACTGATAGGAGACGCGGAAGGTATTAACTGATAAAAATAGTACTAAACATACCACTCCTATCTGGTGTCACATTAGCTTGACCGCGCAGTGCCCCAAATTTGCAGTAAGAGGACCGACCAAGCCTCTTCTTCCATCTCCCTGTTACAAAAATCAATGCCGTGTACACGTCCACTGATAGGAGACGCGGAAGGTATTAAACTGATAAAAATAGCACTAAACACACCACTCCTATCTGGTGTCACATTAGCTTGACCGCGCAGTGCCCCAAATTTGCAGTAAGAGGACCGACCAAGCCTCTTCTTCCATCTCCCTGTTACAAAAATCAATGCCGTGTACACGTCCACTGATAGGAGACGCTGAAGGTATTAAACTGATAAAAATAGTACTAAACACACCACTACTATCTGGTGTCACATTAGCTTTGACCGCCAAGAGTGCCCCCAAATTTAATGTGATCTGTGAGTAAGGTAAACGGTTGTCCACAAGCAAGTAGAAGCTGCAGCTTTTTGAGGGCCCACACCAATCGCCATGCACTCTTCAATGGCAGTGAATATACTTTGCTGTGCAAAAGTTTACTGCTTAGATAAAAATCAATGCCGTGTACACGTCAACTGATAGGAGACGCGGAAGGTATTAAACTGATCAGAACAATACTAAACACACCACTCCTTTTTTTTGGTGAGGCTTTACAGGACAGAGTGCTTCTCCACGGGACATGTTAACTCACGGCAGCTGGCTCATCAAGGAACCAGAGCAGCTTTCCATGTACAGGTAAGACACGTGCAGCCGGTAAGGGTTCCGGCTCTTCTTCCTGGAGGATATTCTGCAAGCCTGTTGAACGAGGTGACCTTGCTCGGGTCCCAGGTGTACGGTTCCTAAAATGGCTGCCATATACACGTCCACTGATAGGAGACGCGGAAGGTATTAAACTGATCAGAACAATACTAAACACACCACAAATAAGGTTTCTCTCCTGTATGGCTCCTCAAATGATGCTTAAGATTAGAAGCGACTGAAAAGCATTTCTCACACTCCAAACAAAAATATATTTTTTTAACATTCTCTCCACTTTGAACGAAATGACGTTTGGGAAGAGATTAACATAATTAAACACAGGCAGTAAAAATACAGTTTTTAGCCATACACTGTAACTTTACAACTACACATCCCATCTTCATAATTATATATTTGGAATCAGCACACTTAAAACATAAACATAACCAAAAATCAGCCAAATCCATGCAGGGGTTAAAAAGTTAGCTGGAGGTCCCTTTATGACCGACCGCAAGCACATTTTCCTCCCCAAAACAGTTCCATAGATTTGGGCTGTGAGGTCGGTCTATTTCAGGCTGAAAAAACGACTAAGTCCCATCGCCGAATGGGACTTAGTCTCTGCAGCTGTAAAACCAGTAGGGGAGAAGGTAGAGCTCAGCGGTGTTCGCGGAAATGTGTAGCCGATTTTAGTTCCATGAATTTGGCTACACATACCGCTGACCTCGTCGAATGATCAAAGATGGCCGCCGCCACGTGTTCGGCAAACGAACAAAG